CTAAATGTATGCACATCGTACTAAGGAACCTAAAGAAAGCTTTTTTGTTGTTGTTGTTGACACAGTTTCTGGTAATTGCTGTGGTCTTACATTCTGTGTTGTTTAAAACAGAAATCAGAAGACCACCTGTAAGAGTGAGCTTCTAGATTTGGCCTCTCCAAGACCAATCACGAGCATGCACTTAAATCCCATGCAGTCTGTGCACAAAGGAGTCCTGATGTCACTTAGCAACTTTGTTTCCAGAAAACTTTGTCCAGCATATCTTATTCCATTGCACACTGAAGAAGCACATAAAGAGTCTGAGAAGACTTCTCTCTTCTAGCCCCACATTAATTTTATATTTTAATGTGTGTTCAAAGAGCAGGCACACTCCTTCTCAGTAGGATTATCTGGGGCTGTTTGTGGGGGGTGCTCCTGTGTATTCTTTTGATGCAGGCTAACTCCTGGAGCGCAGAGAAGAACGGGTCAACCCTTGTAACCATGCCTGGACTCACGAGGGCAAGCGCACGTGGCACCAAAGCAGTTGCTCTCCAAAGGACCTGTGCTCTGTTTTGTCCCAAAATAAAATGTGAGCTCTGTCTCCTGTGTTACTCTCCTTGGACCTTAATAGCCTAATTCACATACTCTGTTTTGTCAGCAGTGTTTCTTTCCGTTTATAATTTATAGCTATGGCGTTTATTTTGTACATGCTTCATGGATAGACCTAACTCAGTATTGTTCATAATCATACTCTTTAGCCTCAAGTTCTAAGGATCGCTGTCCCCCCTGCAATACCACCTCTAGAAAGCTTTAAAAATGCAGCCCTGGAATCAATGATTCTGATAGTTAAATTATAGGAAATGGAACCAGGGAAAATAGTTTTCAGCATAAAGTCATTTGCACAGATAAATAATTCAACAATTCTGCTTTACATTGAATTTGATTTGTTTGTGTACTTTTTATGTGAAAATATGAGTCATCTTGGCATAGATTATATATCATGAACTATTTTAAACTTCCATTAAATGGTTGGAGCAGGTTCAAGAAACATGGACAATGTCAACTATATTTTAAATCATGATATTAATTGTATATAAGGCACCAAGCACAAGGCTTATTACTGTGTGGAGATGCAAGAAAACTCAGCAATGATGTGCACTCTTGTTATTTTTCACTTGGGGACACACAGCATTTTATAGCTGAATCTGCACTTTTCTCACAAAACTTACTATAAGTCACAAAACAGTTCTTAAAATTAAGAATTACATTTATGTCAATATTATAATTTTATTTTCATATGCTTTTTATATTACCAATATGATTGCAAATTGATTTTTAAGTTAAATGTTAAATCTCAGAAATACTGCAGTATGTAGAACTAGGACTCTAATATAATAGCAGGTTTGACATTAAGTGCTTAGTAAAATTTAGAAACAAGATTTAATGACTGACAGAGAAAAAAATAAATGATAGGAATATTTTAAACTTAATATTCCCATATGAAACATTATATATTTATACAATTTCTAATTATTAAATGTAATTTATAATTAATTATATAAATAATTATATAAATTTTAATTTTTATCATAATTATATGTGCTTACTATATATGGTAATTACATATATAAAATTACGTTTTAGTCTCATCATGATATATATTAGTTTTAACGTATATATAATATTTTAGTATCAACATTTTAGGTAGTTTGATAGCTTAAAGCACATGGTAGTTGTAAAATTTCTTACGTGTATAGGGACAGAAACATACATGCTGTTTTAGGAATAATGGAAACTCATCAACATTTGTATTTTACTTTTTAGAAGTCTAGTATAGAGCAATATAAGAATGTATGTGGATTTCTGTTTCAAAGCACTAATAAATTAATACTTGGAATAAAAGCCAGTTCATTTGGCCTTCAATCAAAGTATATTAACAAGCACATTTATAGCAGTATTTATTGCTCATGACAATGACCCAAGATACTACAGCATCCTAATTGACTTATGCATCAATCCAGACCAATTAAAGTGTGCTTTAGTGTACATTTATTGCGTGCGAGAGACAGAGACGGAATGAATGGGGATGAATTGGATTGATCGAGGCAAGCAAAGTTTCAGAAACTTCAGCATAGAGATTAGAAAGCCACTGTGATTTCTGAGCAGACGTTGAATTTGTGGGCCAGGAGGCTCCTGGCTGGTCGCGGCTCCCACTTCCCGCCCAGGGCCGCCAGCTCCCTGGGCCGCCTCCCTGGCTGGCCCGCAGCCGGGAAACGAGGTGGGGGCGGGGGGAGGGTGCTAGACAACCTGGAGAAATTTATATCGACTGGCCCTGCAGCATTGTCTTCAAGAGGCTCTCCAAAATGTGCAATAAATAAACTTTAGCGTTCTTTGAAATAAAGATTTCTAACTAAAAATTAAATGTTTACCTATCAATTGAGTTCAGTGTTACTGAATTCCTACCATGTGTCAAGGTACCGTGTGTAATTCTGAATAGAGGGTTTACAGTTAAATACGTAAAGAAGTTAAATGCAAAGAGATGACTATAAAGCAATTTTATAATTACCATAATAAAACATAAAGAAAGCTTTTATGGTAAGATAAATGAGTGAGATATTAAAAGATCATGAGAGTTTTAATCTCCTGATTCTTGGTGTATTTACTCACTCCTAGCATGTGCCTGTGTCTGCTTATGGGATTCTCTGTTCTTTACTCTCTACCTTGCCCCCTCCCCTGGGGTCAGCAGGCTGGCTAGCAGGGCGCTGGGGCTGGGTACGTCTTGGGGTCGGCAGGCCCTGGCAGCTCCCCAGAAGCTTGGGTCCTGTTACCGAGGGCAGGCAGGGTGTTGGTAGGAACAGAGTGCTCTGCAGTATTTGAAAACGGCCTCACTTCCTCTCCCCCCTCGGAAAGCAGGAGGGGCTCTTCCTTCCGTACTTGCTGTGGGTGCCTGGTGGGCCACCTCAGGGGGGCCCTCGGATATTGCGGGGAGCCTCCCTTGGCCTGGGCCCCGGGGCTTTGAGCCACCGGACTCACCCACACTGAGCCTCTCAGGGCCGCAGGTCTGGGTGTGGGGCCCCAGGAGGTTTCCGCTCTTGGGTCTTCTCCCTGGGGAAGGGAGATGTCGAGCCTTCTCCGTCTGGCCCTCCAGGGTTGGGGCAGCGGGTTACCCTGTGTCCCCCCGTCTCTCACGGACTCAGGAAGAATCGTCGGTTTTCAGTCCGTTCAGGTCTTGACTTGCTAGGACTGAGTGGCAGCTTCCGAGGTCCTTCCATGAGGAACCAGAAACCAGAAATTCACTAGGGTTCTTTATACCCCCTGGGCCTGAGCCATTTGTTGTGTCTATGGATTGCAAGAGGGTTAACAGGTAACTGTAATAAAGAAAGAGCTAGTAAAATGAATAGCTTTTGAGGAAAAATACATACAATAATCCATCTTTATTTCAAAAATAATTATCAGTCTTTATACTGAATAAGGAAACTGAAGATACTGTAAGTGCAATATGAGCTGATACGATTGACATCCTCCAGTTTAGTGTTATTCTTAAGGACCCCCCCCCAAATTTAATGTGTGTTAAGTGATTAAAGCACAGAAATGTGATTTCTGAAAGAAAGGCATTCTGAGGGAAATATGGGCAACATGCGGTCCAAGTTAAAGAAGTGAGGTGCCAACTGGTGATGCAGGCGTGGGTGCTGAAAACCCTGCGGGCAGACAACCTTCCCGCACTCGGGGAGCTTGCGTTCTAACGACAGGGCCCTCGGTAGTCGGGATGAATGAGTAGCTTAGGAGCAGGTTAGAAGATGGTAACTTCTAGGGAAAAGTGAACAAGGTAAGGAGAAAAGGAAACAGTTTTCAGACGTTTGGAAGAGGGGAGCATGAGAGGGTGTATCCTTTTACAGTGAGTTTGCCCACTAGTTCTCAAAAAGAGAGCTTGGAACAAAAACGTGAAGAAGTGCAGGGGTGAACTCAGAAAGAGCTCAGGGAGGGGCCCCTGGCTGCGGGAGCCAAGTTCTGACGCAGGAGGTGGCGAACAGAAAGAAGCCAGTGCTGTCGGGGCAGGTGAGCCAGGGAAAGAGGAGAGAAGGGGAGTTCAGAGAGGAAACAGGAAGCTGGGTAACGTGGCTTTTTCTTTCCCCTTCGGGAGGCTGGCTTCTGCCGTGAGAGAGGTGGGAAGCCAATGAGGGGTTGTGAATGGTGCAGTGGCATGAGCTGCACCGTATTTTGCAAATATTCTGGTTGCCAAGAAGAGAATTTTTTTTTAACACAAAGATTACACAAAATGCCTCTGCTTTAAAGTATGTTTGGTTAAAAAAATATTCTCAGGATACATTTCCAGCCTCACAGAATGGATTAACCTCCTCCTTATCTCCTGCCATGACCCATCCCAAGCCCTGGAGTAATCAGTCTAGGACTCCCTCCACGGGGGAGTGCTAAGGCTGTGTCCTGCAAAGCATGACTTTAGGCAGATGGTAAAATTGTGCCACTGGAAGTCATTAAGGACCACTGAGTGGGTGTTTGAATGTGAGCTTAATCTTGAGGGTAGGTAAAATGTTGCAGAAGCAAAGAATTAGAACTAAGAATGTCCAGCTGATTTTAAGTAGAAAAATAAAACACTATAATCAGTTTTTAGATAGTCACATGTCAGATGGTTCTGATTTATTGAGGGAAAAAGGAACCAGTAAAAGACAATTCTTATACATAGAGTCAAAACTTGCTCTCTGCCTGAAGGGACAAGCCCTTGTCATATCTTGGCTAACATCAGTGACCTTAGACGAGTGACGCTTTAGATAAAAGAGGGCTGCATTTTTTGCCAGAAGATGTATGCCTGGCCCAGGGAGAGAAAATGGAACTGAAGACCAAGAGAGCCGTCCGTCTCCTCTGCCGCGGTGTGTGCATTGTCGCTGGGTATGAGGTCCTAGAGCGTTCAGTGACGTCCACGTCACTGTGCGACAGCTACATCGAACCCCCTAAAAACATGGTGAAGTCTGACATATATAATGCAGTTGATGTGTTTCTTTTGTCAGGTAACAGAAACACGGACGGGTCCTCTCGGCTGCAGTAACTATGACAACCTAGATTCTGTCAGCTCCGTGCTGGTTCAGAGTCCTGAGAATAAGATTCAGTTGCAAGGTACGTAGGAAAAATTTCATTAATTCTCTATCCAGTTGTGATTGCGTTCTTCTTCTTTTTGTTACAAGTCATATGTGCAAGACTAGGCTGTTGAAATTCTCATAAAAGGCTGATTTCCAGAGTTTTTAACTGATAGAAACATTCTAGACCAGATGAAAAAAATGTCAAAATTCAATTTACTTCCTAAACTAAGTAATCTATAGCAATGGAAAACGTATCGTGGTGGTATTCGACTTTCCTACAGTCATTACTGTCTTAATAAGTAGCCGTTTTTTCAAAGGTCTGCCTGAGCTTTGAATTTTTCCTTACAGATTCTGGGAAAAGCCATAACTGTATTTGAGCATCATGTAACATGAACTGTTGACATTTTAAATATAAACATAGATGGTTGTTAAGGCTGCATTTGTCTTCTGGCAGATAGGAATGTGCTGAGAATATACTAACAAAATTTCAGTATTTATTTCCACTGTAACTGTATAGATTATGGGATAATGCTAATAATTACCATCTTTTTCCGTTGCTATATTTTTTGAGATAATAGGGGGTTTTAAAAATAATAACTTTTAACAGATACATACTATTTTCAAAACACTTATGTGAATGCATAGTACTCATTCATATAGGCAGGGAAGGTCATGAATAAACGTACTGGTTTGTATAAATTCAGAAACATTATTGTGAAGGGTACATTGCGGAAATTCTGTTGACTGTTCAAAGGAGTAATTATGAGTAGTTCTTTCCTAGTGTACCTTTTTTAGTTGCCTACGTTAGACCTGTGTTTACGATATTTAGTTTTATATAAAGATGCATAGATGTTTTAGAAATTCTGCCATTCTTTCTCAATTTTCAATCTTGAAAAATGTAACAGCTTTGATTTATTTAAATTTATTATAAATAATAAATGAATGCTATTCATTTTGAATTGTATAAAATTTGCAAAGAGAGTACTTTAAAACTTTAGACTTTAAATGCTATCCAATTTATAATTACCAATTTTAGATTTAAAGTTATTGAAATATTTTCTGTAAATGGAAATGCAGTACATAATGTTACTTGTAATTCTCTACTGCTTACTCCTTTTTACATGTATGGATTAACTCTCCATTAAAATATGAACTGTCTTCCAAGAGGACACAAAAATTTATATCAAATTTATGTTTATTTCAATTGATTTATTTTTAAAATCTCTTTATTAGTACAATTAATTGATTTTTACTGTTTAGAAATCACTGTGTTCAGTTTTCAGAATATTATGTGATAGATACACAACTTCAGTCACCTGTCTTGGAAAAAAAATTATCACAAAGAATACATGAAGAAACACTTCCCTTTATTTAACTATATTTCTGTTATTTGCAGTTTATGCAATTTCTTCATCACTTTCACCATTTCTATTTGCCAGGTTCATATGTTTAGTTGTCTGTTGCAACCCTATTTCTATACATTGTTGGTACAAAAACCTTTCCAAAGATCCCCTTAGAAAGTCAATATTGACGCTCTGGAGTTCTCATGGACTCTTTCTGAAATATCATTTGCATGTACTGATAGTCCAGCTATCATGTTGATTCACCTTTTCATCCTCACCTTTAGTAGTAGGCCTTTACTTCTTTAAGCAGATTGCAAAGCATTCACTCATTCTGTAGCAATATTACCGTAACTACATTTCTTTCGAGCATATAAAAAATTATGAGTCACTGTTTGTGGCATTTGGAAAAACAGCTGTTGCCAAAGCACTTTTATTAAGGTACCATCATAGGTCTTTGTGTCTTTTATAGTTTGTTAGTAATTTACTTAGTTGGTTGAATGGATGGATGAATGGCTGGACAGATAGATAGATTGCAGATGAATATTGATATAGATACAGATAGATATATCTGTGTGTGTGTTGCGTTATGTTGTTTTTTGAAATGAAGCACAAGGTGAAGTATTAGAATCAGTGTTTGGTTTTTTAGAGGGTTACTGAATTCAAATATGTTATTTTAGAGGAGTCTGGAATTACGACAGTTTTTTATTACTGGCCTTATTCTTTCAAGCCTTATTCATTCTCTTGTAGAAGAAAATGAATTGCCCCTGAAGTAGCATTTTATCAGAGCAAAGAAAGCATCAATATGAATTATTGAAGGTAACAGCATTAGGCAACAATTTTAGAACAAAACTTCATGACTTAATCATCTATATGAGAATTAGCATTCAGAAATGAGATGTCAAAGAGCTGAGCACAATGTTAATTTTGACTGAAAACAAATGAAATTGAAAGATTTCTGGCAGTGAGTAAGCTGGATTTACTTGCTTCTTTAACCTTGAAATCTGGCTTTGCACAATTAGGTTACAGAGCAGACATCTTTCAAAAGCTAAAAGAGCCATATCTACCACTCCAAATTATGGATATAAAATTTATTTAATATATGACAAAGAGTAATTAATTCATAAGAAAGTATCAACAAATATATATATTAAAATGAATGCTATTCCAGTTTTTTAGCCCCTATAAATTTAACCTATCACACAAGGTACCTTTGAGTCAAAGGGTAGCACAAATAATTAAAAGTCATTTATTAAATCTTAATAGTAACTTTTTGGTAAAATTCCCAGAAATTGAGAAAATGAATGATCCATGTAACAGACTAACAAAAACTCTTTCAGATCAGTTTCTAATGTTTTATTTCAGCAAAATTGATACAGTACTACATTATTATTATACAGAATATTCAATGTAAATTTTAACAATGCATCACTATGCAATATCTGTTTTGCTTGTAGTAAAAATTGAATGATAAGGATTATAAAAGTTTTGTTCACTATTTTATCTATTAATATATTGGAACAAATTATCTCATCTTATATATATATAAAAATGAAAAGTAGGGAAATGATTTGTATTAAACTAATTTATATTGATCTATATTTCTAGCAAAAAATACAGGAGTAATTAACAACATAAGCAAATAAGCATCAAGAGCACTGGTCATTTGGCTTTTTTAACAGCTTATCCTGCTAGACAAGCATGTGTCAAATAATGTCCCAAGCTGTCTTTTTTATGAAAAGTTTTATTAATCTTATGAACATAGTGTAATGCTTAGCCAATTAATTATACCAAGTTAAGTATATGAATACCAATGCTGATAGTTACTTAAGCACTGTTGTATACTGTTATTATATACTTTTTTCATTTTTCTTAAATATATATTTCTCAGTCATCTTTATATTTGCACTTTACCTAGCAATTCTCTTTCAAGTGGAGGCCTTCAATTAATGTTATATTTTTTAGGTGAAATAAAAATAAATAATATGACTATATAAGTTCTAAGAATACTTTTCCTGACTGAAGTATGGGAAAATTAATCTGAAAGAATGAGACAGCTATAATGATCAAGATATGTGCAAAGTAGATTTCCCCCCTGAATGCTAATTCTTTGTTTTTCTTAAACGAACCTCACAGATAATTGTTAAGGGTCAAATTTTTTTTTTATTAGAAAGAAAACATAAAAGTTATAAAAATTCAGTTTTGTAGTAAAAAGCGGTTATGTATAGGTCAAATTTTTCTTTACTATTATGTTTCTTTTTATCCACTGCTGAGTTTGAATATTTAGACTTTTTATTAAATTTTTCTGTGTAGCAATAAATGCTGAAATTGAAACTACATTTTTTCCTGTGAAATATCATAATAAATTTCAAACCTGTAGAGATTACCAAATATTAATCTCACAGTCTTATTTTCGTTTTTGATATTTTTCCTTAAGAGAGAGCGACTTTACTAGTCTTGAATTGGAAAAGTAATGAACTGCGTCACTGGGGCTGAGTGAGCACCTGACAAGGAAATGAACTGGAAACAGCTAAATTAGTTCGTCTGCTTCTGTAGTCAGTCTTCGTGATCACTCCTGAACAACTGGGAGACAAATCCAGTGTTGTCGATGCCTTGAGATAGGCATTAGCATCAGCCTCTCCAACTCGTTCATTAGTGCGACCCATTGTGCGGTGGCATTTATTTAGATGTGGGATGATAGCGTGAAAAAAATGAAAATATTGACAACTATTTGAAATCAGGTGGCACAAAGTAAATGCCTGCCTCTCTTTTCAAAGGTAGACAGGTTCTATCTGCATGATGGAAAAATAACAAAATGTTCTGATCAAGTAAGTCAGGGAACCAATCAGATAAATTTCAAAAACGAAGTCAGATAGTGTGAGGGATTAAACACATCTATAATTTCTGGGATTTTTTTTTTTATTCTTCACCCCAGGACATGCTTATTGATTTTTAGAGAGAGAAGAAGGGAGGGAGGGAGAGAAACATCGATTCGTGGCCTCTCACACGTGCCCCACCTGGGGAACGAACCCTCAGCCTAGGTGTGTGCCCTGACTGGGGCCTGAACTTCTGACCTATCGGTTTATGGATGACGCTCCAACCACCTGAGCCACACCAGCCATGGCTCTCGAATTCCTGAACAGTACATGGAGTCAGCATATGCTAAAAATATAAATATTTGCAATTTTGTGGGCTTAGATAATTTTCTAGTGATAGTTTTCAATATGCATCAATCCATAACTTGATATACTAAGTTTTGAACTTTTTGATTATATATAAAATAAATATGTATTATACTCTCTTTATCAAAGTAAACTTGTTTGCATGTTTGTTCTTCAAGGGCTGCAAGTGCTCCTTCCGGACTACCTTCAGGAGCGTTTTGTTCAAGCAGCTCTGAGCTACATCGCCTGCAATTCCGAGGGAGAATTTATCTGCAAGGACAATGACTGCTGGTGTCAGTGTAGCCCCAGGTTTCCGGAGTGCAACTGCCCCTCCATGGACATCCAGGCCATGGAAGAGAACCTGCTTCGAATAACCGAGACGTGGAAAGCCTACAACAGTGACTTTGAGGAGTCAGGTAAGACACAGGTTTCAGTATAACACGTGAGCTTCCCCAAACAATGACTGCATTGAAAAGACCATTTTACCATTTTGGAAGAACTATTACATTCTCAGAAGGGATTTTATTTGATTGTTCAATATCATCCGTTCTGATGGACACGTGTTTTGGTTCATTCATGGTTACTCAGTGTCTCACTGAGAACATATTTGTGCTTTGGGCATTACTGTGTACCGTGGGCAAGAGAATAGCCTGCTTTTGAGCTGATGTGTGAGTCATGTTTTGCTTTTCTCAATACAAGAATTTAGCATGAGACATTTCTGATACCTCCCTGGACCTTTACCACACATTCTTAGGTGCCTAAAGAATAAAAACTGAGGGTATAGGGTGGGCGCTAGAAAATAAAATAGGCAAGGATGGAAATTCTCTGAGAGGACGATGAGTGAACACTGAGTTTCTACAGCTGTTTTCCGCCGGGGCACATTTATCAGTCCCAGGCCTGGTCAGACGCTGAGGATCTAGAGTTAGCCACTGGACAATGTCGCTGCTCCTGGACAGAGAAACCAGAGAAATGTTCTGTGGTCCCAGTATATGGAGTGGAGAAAATGGAGGCTGAGGGGGTTTGAATGCATAAGCGGCCTGCTCTCTAAGACATTTGCCCCTTTGAATGTGTCTGTGGCAAATGACTGAGGGATGAACTAAAACCCCCTGCGTGGCGGAAGTAAGTGTTCTGCAGTGACACAGGCCGGAAGAGGGGGGCCCTTACTTGGAAGCTCTGAAGCCCATGCCCTAAAAACGGAGAAGCAGAGGCTGATTGAGTCCTGTATAATTATAACCCACCATGGATGCAGCTCACATCCTCATCCTGCGGAACTGATTCTAAGAAGATCAGCTCCCGATAGCCTTTGGGAAATATGAAGAGGGTGGCCTCCTGAGGATGGACACTTTTTCTCAAACCTCTGTAGTTGTTGAGTTTTTTTGTTTTCGGTTTTGTTTTTGTTTTTAATATATGAAGGACACAAAATCCTAATTTACGCCATAGGAGAGCAGGCAAGACCTTATGGCCAATAGCAAAGAAAAAACAAATCAGTCAATAGGTGAAGTTGACCCAGTTATTGAACTTAGTGGAAAAGATTTTCAGATAATTATTTTTTAAGTGTACAAAAAAAATGAAGGAAGAATAAAGTAGATGAAGATATTGAGAAGTTCACTAGAGATACGGACTCTGTAGATCTGGTCTCCTGCAAAATAAGACAGTAAAGTAGAAAACAGAAAGGACCGTCTGGGTCACATGGATGAGTGCAGTATCATGGGAAAGGCCTGGATTGTCTTCTTCATACATTGTATTGGGTCACCTATGACTTTACTGGAGATTATTTCATTAAATATTACATTTTTTATTACATTAAATATTCTAAATAAAAGACAATACTGCAGCACAGGGTGAAATAATGATAATAAAAACAATAATATTAGAGGACTATTTGATTTTTACTAGAACATGCTAAGGATATAGATAAATTGAGGTTAAAGGATGGAAAGGAATATGCAGTGCACATACTGGCCAAAAATTACTGCATTAAATTTTAAAGCAAGACACATTAGTTAAGAGGGAAATATTCCATAACAATGAAGTAGTAAATGCAATGGAAATTTATATCATTATATATGTCATAATTACTAATTTATATGAGTCGCACCAGTTAAACAGACAAGTTCATTAAGACTTGTAATTAAGGAGCGACTTGAATAGGGAGGAGAGACGGAGCTGAGCCCCCGTAAAACAAAAGGCAGGAGGATCTTTGAAACATCAGGATCGGCTCGTGGGCGAGGGCAAGAGAACGTCAACAGGAGGGTGGCTGGCATGATGTGACGAGGCCATCGGCATTTGCCAAGGGTTCCTTACTGGCCAAGGGAGGTCCTTCTCTCCCAGAGGGACGGAGTTACTGTCCCCTCTCCTCCTCTCCAGGCAACGGCTCCCAGGCCTTTGAGAAAGCGTCCTGCTGTGGGGAAGGCCTGCACCTAAGGCGGCAGACAAGGTGTGTACTCCGCAGGGTCCCGAAGGAAGAAGGAAAGGGCCTCAGGGCCTGTTGTTGGGGAGAGGTCTGTGCAGAGGCACATCGGGCGGAGGGCGGCGTTCAGGCCCTCGGAATTCACTCCCGGCAGGAGAGCCCCCAGAGCCACAGAGGAAAGTGTGCCAGAGGCACAAGGACCCCAGGACACACACACAGTCATGGGCGAGATTTCACCATTCTCCTTTAAATATATGAAAGAACAAAGTGTGTATCAGTGAAGATCTTTGAATTTGAAAAGGAAATTAACCAACTTGACTAAAATAAAATAGAACACTAAACAACAAAAAGAAAATGACAACTTATATACTTTTCCAGCATTCATGCAATATTTACCACGTTTCACCATATGCCGGATCTTAAAATAAGCCTGAACAAATCTGAAAAGATTGGAATCATTTAGAATACACTTCAGACCATTGTGGAATTAAACTGAAACCAAATGGAATTAAACCAGAAGATAAATGGGCAAACTTCATCTGCCTAAAATTTAAGTGCAAAGCCTCTAAATAAACTATGAAAGAGAAATAAAAAGGAGTTAAGTCAAAAGTTTAAGTCGAAGTAATTGGAAGAAGAGAAAATATGTTGAATTGAACAAAAATAAAAATAGGACAAATCAGAACTGTGCAATGCAGGTAATGAATAGCTTTGGGAGGAAATTGATTGCCTAAAGACATGCTTTCAAAAAAAAAAAAACCAAACAAAACTGGAAATCAATTATTTAAGCTTCTACCTCAAACATTTTAAAAAGAAAGAACTTCTTAATTAGAGAAGTAGAACAAAGATAACAGCAGACATTAATGTAATTGAAAGCATTCAGCAGCAGGTAGAAAAAAAATCCAGAGTCAAGTGCTAGTTCTCTGAAAAGATTAATAAGCCTAATAATTACCAAAGGTAAGCAAAGTAAATTTACCAAACTTGACAGAAAAACAGATTGAAGAATCTAAGTTATTATGTTTGGGAAAAAGGTATCTATTATTAAAATAACTCCTCAAAAAACCTTCTTTGAAGATAGAATAAGGAAATTAAAAACAATCTTTCATATGATCAGCAATGTAAAAGATTCTAACAAAATATAGGGAACAATAGGTAAAAATAATGTATTGTGAAGAATTGAAATTTACTCAAAATTAATTTAAGCATAAAAATATCTACCAGATTGCATCAGAAATGGAAAATAGAATCGTGAACATCTCAATAAATTTTTAAAAATCTATATATGATTAAAAAAATATGTCTTTGAGCAAACTTGGAATACATTTAACCCTGTACCTTTTAACAAAGAATTTCTACAAAAACTTCATGTATAATTGTGAAAATTTGGAAGCTTTCCTCTTGAGAGCAGGAATAAATAATGATGTCCATTCTAACAACTTCTGGTGAAGTGTTCTCCAGGTTCTACTCAGTGTAGTTAGGCAAGAGAAGAAGAAATAAAAGGTGTAAACATTTGAAAGGAATAATGAAATTAGCACATTCAGAGATAATATGATTGTATATACATTGAAAAAATTTAAAAAATAAGCTCTTGAATAAAGTAATTTAACAAGTTTCCATTAAAAAAGATCAACATACAAAGTAATGTATACAGCCACGTCCCTGCAGCACAGTGAAACCCAAGTGGAGTGAGAACTTAGAGTGACTGCAGCTGTCACGTAATAATTGTGGGCATGTGATTAACTCCTTTTTGGAATAAATGTTTGGTAATATCTACCAAAGGCAAAAACAGTAGATGCTATGACCCAGCAGTTTTATTCCGAGGTAAAAACCCAAATGAAATCTAGACATATTTGCAACAACAAAAATACAAAAAGGTGCAAGATCGTTCATAGTAATATGATTCTTAGTACACTCTCTGTGACGACCACCAAAATGCCCATCTACAAGGAGGAGGAAAACATCATGGTATATTTTCACAATGGGATTCTGTAAAGCTAAGGAAACAACCAACCCAAAATGATAGGAGTCTCTCAACTATCACCTTGAACAGTAGAAGATAGACTCGAAAGTATATGTACTTTTCCAGTGTATATGTGGCCCCATTTATATTAAGTATAAAAACAGACAGAGTTCATGTGTACTCTTCCAAGTCAGGGCTGTGGCACCTTGGCTTAGATGAGGGCTGAATAGACCGTTGGGGGTTTGGGGAAGCTCTTTGGTGCCAAAAACTCATGATTCCCTGATACAGAGGCTGGCTGGTCCGCTTAGTTTATGGAAACAATCTGAGTTTATACTTTATTATATGTGCATTTTACTGTGTTTATATCATTACAGATAATATGGAGGTTTTTTCCATTTTAATGCATAGATAGTTAAAAAATGAACCCAAACTTTTTATTAGTGCACCTTTAGTTAAACCATATTCCCTTATCCACACTTGGAACTAAACAACGTGTAAAATATTCAATTTTTATTGGACTCCTTTTAAATTTAGTGAAATGTATGGAAAGGTATATTTGAAAGTTTTGAGCAGAGTTTTTTGTTGTTGTTTGTTTTTTTGAGGAATAAAAAACTTTTTTTGGCCTCAAAGAGGTAAACAAAGTAGAAGAAGCAGAGAGTCAGATGTTGTTTTGAGAACCAGTTTCTCACCGCCCACGGGCCCCTGCAGGTTGAGGCTGCGCCAAGCGCCCTGCCCTAGGGAAAAGCAGCCCCCTGCCTGCGCTTCCCTGGGCGCCGGGAGGCGGCGGCGCCGTCCGGCTCGCCCTGGCAGTGTGTGCTCGACCTCTAGTACAGCAGGCAGCTATTTGTGTATGTTATATGCCTGAGATAGTGCAAGTCTGTTCTCCTAGATGGACAGTACAAATTGGGATGGAGTTTTATTTTATTTTCAAATATTTAATGTAGCTTGAAGTGATTTTGAAAGGTAAATAATTAACAAGTAGTATACTTACTCACTTTCAGAGAAAGTCCTCAATTTTTAAATTTAATCAAAATATTTTGTAAAGTACT